ACGGGAGCGCTGCCGCGCTTCCCAAGCGGGTGCACTATCCAGTGCGCCACCGGGCCGGCCCGGAACAAGGTTTTCTGATGCATGTTATTTTTTGTCTTTGTTTCCACATATACCCATTACATTACAAACGGGCTTTCTCAGGCACTGTTTAACCCTCACAATGGCTATTTGCTGAGTCTTATGCACAACAGGACAATGCTTATTTTTACCAGGAGATGGCATATGTCATCCTTTTGAAATCTTCAGGAAGGTCTCTGCTGCAAAAGCTTCATGACCATTTCACTGCTAAACTGACTTGTGAGAACATATGTTCTCAATGGTAATGCTAAGAAATACTTTTCTAACGAGGTATTTCTAAATTAAGTCTCTCTACAGTGAGTGGTCACAGAACAGAATGACCACACTATAACCATGCATGGTGAACTGACTGGCACACCCACAAAAACTCATCTTTGGGGCTCCTGTGGTACACAGTGGATTGCCTTGCACATTGCAGGTGCTCAGTAAATGTTTGCTAAATGCATAACTCTAGATAAGTCACTTTACTTCAATTAGTCTACATTTGCCAAATCTGAAAAAGTAGGGGCTGGACCAGGTGACTGTTAAGACCTTGCCTTAGGAGAGTCTCTGATCACATAATAAATAGCTTGTAAGTACCACATACTCTATGCTTTTTCCCACCCCCCTCAAAAACAAAACATGATGCTCCCGTTAGAAATTTAGTTAAGATCAGCCCAAAATTTCTAGGCTGGCCAGTACAGGGAACCCTTGACCCTGGTGTTACAAGGCCATGCTCTAATCAGCTGAGCTAACCGGCCAGCCCTATTTTTATTTAGTCTGGAAGCCACTAACTGCTGAGTCCCAGTCTGTCAAAACACATAGTTTTCATTGAAAAACTAAAAAGAAAATAAAAACCACTCTAAATCTTTCCCATAGTAGTCCCTTAAGGAAATCAAACATGCGAGAAAATATTACAATAACCCATGAGATATCAAAAGAATGAAAAATAGACTATTCATGGTCTTTCATCCGTGTGGCTGGGCACCAGGACAAATTTTATACAAATGTCAACAGGCAGGGCTCAAGGAGCTTCAGGAAAAAAACCAGAAGAATGTGGCTCCCACTCAGACCATTCTTGATTTTAGGATTTGAGCAAACACCCACCTTAATGACTCAAAGATGAATGTCAGTGTAGTAAATACAGTCATGTGCCACATAATGATGTTTCAGTCAAGGTCAGACCATACATACAACGTGGTCTCATAAGATTATAATACTGTATTTTTACTGTACCTTTTCTATGCTTAGATATGTTTAGACACACAAATACTTATTACGTTTCGAATGCCTACAGTAGTCAGCACAGTAACATGCTGTACAGGTGTGTGGCTGGGGAGCAACAGGCTATACCATATAGGCTGGGTTTGTGTGAGTACACTCTATGATGTTCACACATCGAAATCACCTAAGGACACATTTCTCAGCACGCATCTTTGTCACTAAACAAAGCATGACTGTAAATCTATTTCCCCAGGCCCTCATCCTTCTATAGAGACCATGTCCACCTCAGCCTTGGGGAGGCCTCGGCCGTGCTCACCACTTCTACATGCCCTTTCTCACGCTGAGCCCCAGAAGCCTCTGCAAGGGCAGCTCTGATGGAGAGTGGGAAATCGCACATTTGCTGAGCATTGTATCAACACTGAGAGAACAGGCACAGTCACAGGGGCTGAGTCCAAAGCCAGGTGGCATCACTCTCACATCCTATGACCTTGGCTGAGCATGTTCTTAATTCCTCACTGCTTCAGTTTTCTCATTTGTGAAGTGGAGATAAATTGGTAGCTACCTCAGAAGGTTCTTATGAGGATTAAATGAGAGTTTATATAAAGAAATTAATACAATGCTTGACACATAGAACGTGAATAGGTGTTAACAGCAATTTCATTATTATTAATATTGCTGTTACTTTTGTTCTTGGGCATCTGTCCCACACCCTACTCCTCAGAGTCATCTCCTAAGGCTGAGATGGAATGTTATTTTTGGGTCAGGATCTGTGGAAGTAGGAAAACATCAGATAAGTAGTCCTAGATTTATCATCACCCCATGGAAGGATTTCAATGATAACTTTCTTTGGGGACATACCTGTTGCGTTCATATCCTGAGCAGCTGACAGTTCTCTGCACGGCCTTCCTCTTTATACTGTTTTCCTTCAGCAAGTTAACGTCTCGGGGAAACAAACCTTCCATCAGGTCCATAGTCGTCTTCATTCTGGAGTCTGGATCCAAAATGTCTGCCAGAGATTTATCTTGGTGGACAATTTCCTTGGCCAGAGCCTCTGTTCTGATGTCTTCTGAGGTCTTCTGAGGATCAGAACTGACTTTCTTTTCTATACCCTGAGTTCCATTGACCGGATCGTGGATGAGGCTTTGAGTCTGGATGGGAGGTGGCTGCCCTGGGCTTGGCTGCTTGCCAAAAGACCCAGCAAGTTGGGGCTGAACAGCCATGATGGAGGGGGGGCTAGCCTCTGAACCCCTGATAGAAGCCTGGGGTCTGGAAGCCAGTATCTTACTACCTACAAAATGGGCTGCACCGGGCATGTCCCTTTCCCTTGCAATTGTCATCTTGGGAAACTTGCTGGAGCTGTGAGGGATACAAAATAAGAGAGTAGTAAGAGAAGAGTTAACAAAAGGGTAAAGATGAGAGGGTTTAGGAAGACTGAGGGAGAAGCTTCTCAGGAGCTTCCCACATCAGGAGTGGGGTGAGGTATCCCATTTCTGAGGTTATTATACCCC